CCCCCCCCGGGCCCCCCTGCCACTCCTGGCTTTGCTGGGTGGCACGGGCAGCCTGGACCCTGGCCTCCGGCTGTGCGGCCATCTGTATCCCCCAAGCAGGAGCTCGAGCCAGGCCAGCCTGCCGCGTTGGCGTGGAAGAGAGGGAGGGAACCTCGCCACTGGCCAAGGTCTGGCCATTTCCAGAATATTCTGAGAAGGCCCGGGCGAGGTGTACACTTGCCACAGAAGGCTGGGTAGTGAGATGGGCACCCCCCAGCAGCCCCACTGCCCACTCCAGGTGAGGAGTACACCTGGGCTTTGACGCAGCGCTGCGGGCAGTAGCCAGGTGCAGGTCTTGGGGCAATTGGCCCTTAACCTACCAGGGTAGATGGCATCTCAGATCAAGGAACCCAGGCCCCCGGCCCAGCCAGCAGCCCCCAGCAACGGTGCCCCAAACCTCCACTGGGCACTGGGCACCATCACCTGGCCTCTGCCCCTGCCTCCGAGAGCTCGTGCCCTCAGGTCAGGGTGACTGGCTCAGGCTCTGGGTGGCTAGGCACCAGGAGCCTACCCCACCCACCCCTGGGGAGACCCGGGAGGGACAGGAGCTGGTGCCTGGCTCCCTGTGGCTGGGGGGAAGGGACAGAGACCTCCTGAGCCAGGTACAGCTGTGCCCCCCCAACCGCAGGGCAAGTGGCAGGGGGTGCTCAGAGTGCCTCACCGTTCCTCAGGGCCATCCCACGTGCAGAGCGGGCGCGGGCGCGGGCTGGCGAGGGCGTCTGCTGGCTGCTCCTACCCATGGGCTTCCCCACTGCTGGCTCGCCCCAGCCCAGCCCAGCCCAGCTGAGCCCAGCCCAGCCCAGCCCAGCCCGTGGCCTGGCCGTTAACCCTGTCGTGCCAGGCGGCCTGTGTCACAGTTCATTCCCAGGACGCAGTCAGTGCAGGGGAGGGACTGGGGCTCATGGCCCGTGGTGAATGACTTGGGGCCCACGGGCCCCTCCATGTCCCCTCTGCAGGCTGGGGCAGGGCATGGCTTTAGAGGGGCTGCTGCAGCCAGGCCTCCAGGCTGTTCCTGCCCCCACCTGAGCAGAGGGCCGTGGCACCGCCCTGTTGCCCAGCGCCCACCCACCTGCCCGGCAAGCCCTGGGGGTTTCCTAGCAGCCTAGGTGGGTTCCTTGGTCCAGCCTGGGCTCTCCTGTGACCTCGGGGTCAGCTGGGGTCCGCCCGGTGCCCCTCCCCCAGGGCCTCTTCTAGGAACGCCTGGCGGGCCTCCAGAGCCAGTGTTTGCTTTCCCCGGGGCCACCCCCTGGAGCAGGCGGGTGGGGCAGCCTGGCCCCGTGGCCCCTCTTGTCCCGTGCTGTCCCCAGGCTCCTCAAGCGCCTAGCCACCCCACAGCAGGCCGTGGTGCAGCGGCGGGCGTCTCTCCCCCCGCCAGTCCTGAGGTCCACTCGCTTGTCCCTTCCTGCGTGTCCCTGAGGACCAGTCTCTGGTCAGCTCCGAGTTCACAGAAGTTGCTGGAAGGGGCAGGATGTGGGCTCGAACGGCGGCTGTGTCCCCAGGCAGCTTTGAGCCCTTTCCAGGCCCTCCTCAGCTCCTCTTCTGAGAATTATAGATCGGCGGCAGAAAGTCCTCGCCCTCCAGCACCGCTGGCCGCCGCGGTGTACACAGCAAAGTGCAGGCTCAGCAGGGCGGGGCGGGGCGGCCCACGGC